TGTGACTAAATTTCGAACCCAGTTTACATTATTGGACATTAAACCACCAACACGCAGACGTAGAGTGAGGACTGAAGAAAATATATTGCGGCTGTATCCGCCAGTGTTAGTGATGACCGTGAAATTTCGATTCGCCGCCGTTCGCAGCAATTGGGCCTCTGTTACTCCACTACGTGGAAAATTTTGCGACAGGATTTGGGTGCAAAACCTTATAAGATACAGCTGGTGCAAGAATTGAAGCTACACGACCTCTCACAACGTTTTCAATTTGGTGAATGGGCGCTGCCAAATTGGAGGAAGATCCACATTTTTATCGAAAAATTGTGATCAGCGACGAAGCTCATTTCTGGTTGAATGGGTACGTTAACAAGCAAAATTGCTGTATCTGGAGTGAAGACCAGCCAGAAGCATTACAAGAGCTACCAATGCATCCCGAAAAAATCACTGTTTGGTGTGGATTATGGGCCAGTGGCATCATCGGGCCGTACTTCTTCAAAGACGACAATGGCCGGAACGTAACTGTGAATGGCGAGCGCTAGCGTGCGATGATAACAAACTTTTTTTGCCCAAAATGGAAGAGCTGGACTTGGCTGACATGTGGTTTCAACAAGACGGTGCCACATGCCACACCGCACACGAAACAATGGCCCTATTGAGAGGCGAGTTCGGTGAACAGTTTATCTCACGTTTGGGGCCCGTCAATTGGCCGCCTAGATCGTGTGATTTAACGCCGTTGGACTATTTCTTGTGGGGCCATGTTAAGGCTAATGTCTACAGGGATAAACCAGCAACGATTGACGCACTGGAAGCCAATATTGAAGCATTTATTCGTGAGATACCGGCCGATATGTTGGAGAGAGTGTGCCAAAATTAGACCTTGCGCATGGGCCATCTAAAGCGGAGCCGCGTCCAACATTTACATGAAATAATCTTTAAACATTAAATTATATCGACCGTTCTATCGACTCAAACAAAGAGTTAATCCTTTTTTCAAATTTGTTGTGTTTTTTTTTGAAAATCAAATCCTATACCTCTTAAAAAATCACCCGTTAGAACTTTTGATCTTTTTTGGCAATTAATCTTAACAATTCTCTGTAATTTCCTCTGTCAGAGTCATCCCCTTCAAAATGAACGGTAATTCCTGTTTTGCCAAAAAACATACGGTATCTAGAAGTGTGCTGCCTAAAAGCTTGGTTAAGACAACTTTCGATTCTTGTTTTGCCAAACTGAATTAAATTCGCTACACATCTCACATGTAACGGAGAAATTTCATGCCTCCTCTTTAGAGCCCTAAAACTATTTAAATCGTTGACTCCGCTGCATTTTGTTCTGTATAAAACAGAAGACATCGCCAAAAATACAATCTGTTTTTTTACAACCACATAAACAAGAGTTTCCATATACCAACTTAATTTAAAATATCAGACTACGTTTTTTTATTCCTTTTTAAAATTACCTAAAATAGGCGTTGGTCATCCATTTTCAATGATCTCTTTTTTTTCTTAAAAACCATACAGGGAGAATGACTTGTCAAGTAGTTGATCGATTAAGCAGCGACACTCATCCATGTTTAATTGCACGCATACTACAGCCGGTAACCAAAACGGCTACTAACGAGTGAGAAGTGAGTAACGAAATCAAAAAATGGTAACAAGGCCACATAATAGTCGCAGCGCCCCACGCACTCGGGCGACCGCGATCAGATACGAGCCGGTACCGACGGTCCCCGACGGACTACCAAGTGTATCCATAAATGAAAATGGTAACAACCGAGAACCAAGTCGAGACGAGTCAGCTTCATCGTGTTCGCATTATTTTCGTGGGGCTAATTTGCTATTTACTGAATTACTATTACATATCGCTGTTGGTAAACAAATAACTGAAATTATTTCACAGTACCTAGTCATAAAATACTTATTTTTAAGATTTTTAACTGTTACCAATGGTAACAATGGTTACATGGACGCTTCGCCACTGCCCTGGGAGCAAATGCCCAGAGGGATGGAATGAATAACATAAACAGGCCTAACGGCGGTCGTGTTTAGTGACATTAACCAGACTTGTGAACTTGTGACAGGGTTGAGCTTGTATGCAAAAATGTGTTTGAAATATTTCGTATGCTTACACGGAAAACTCAGACAAGCTGATATGAGGTTGATATTATACAAATCTTTTCAAAAAGTACCGCCTATACTTATTTTTTGAATGCATCAAGCTAGCAAGCTGAAAGTCTAAGTAATGGAGCAAATGCATGAATACCATATTTTGACATAAAAGTGGCAGTTTGAAGTTATAAGAGGGCGACTGGGCATCATTTTATTATATATACTATATGGGGTCGTATCATATCACATTTTGAACCTTCTTATGGGTACTTTATAACTCTAGATAGAAAAATCACTCTCAAAATGGCGAACTTTGGCTTTTATCTCCGCCGTCACTGCGTTGATTTTCTAAAATTATAAAGCTTTTTCATCCTTGGCATAAAAGTAACCGTATGTGAAAACTTCATCAATATCCGGCCAGTACTTCCCAAGTTATAGACGGGACAAGGATGAGCGGACAGAGCAGACTGGCAGACCGACAGACAGACATATCGACAGACAAACAGACCGACGAAAATGGGTGAGATAGTTTTGCGTGATATAACACCCAAAGATCAGTGTGAAAAATACAAAATCATAGTTATCTCGTCAGAAACGTGATATCTCCTAAACGTTGAATTAAAGGTTGTGCTGTAATTATATGACATAGCCATCCACAATTATGCAGAAATTGGTTCAAATTAAACTGATATCCTATTCAATATGTATTCAGTTCAATCTGCTAGTCAAGTCCAGCCCATACGCTTATTTATTATCATGAACGTCGTATATCTAACAAGCATTAATTTATAAGCAAATACTGTTTCACATCGTGAGAACTTAGCTTTTTAATATATGAGTCCCAGTAGGCAACTTTATAAAGATACACTTTAAGCTGGCAAGTTCACTTGGATTTATTGATATTTTATTCAATAATGACTCAAATATATAAAGAAAAGTGAGTTCAAGGTATACAGGGTGGCGCACCGAAAACGAAACAGACGCATTAACTGGCAGCTCAGTTTTTTTTTTGAAAAACGCTCAGACCCGTCGATTTTGTTTTCGAGGGGGACACAACTTTGGAAAAAAATCACGTTAGCACGTGCAGCCCCCTAAGCGGGAGTGACACCACCCCCAAAATCTTAAATGGAAAGGCGGGTCGAGTAATACCTTATTTTAAAGGTCTTTCAATTACCTTTATAACGATATAAAATTAATGTACTTCAGTTCAGTAGTTTTGAAGATTTATTGATTTAAAGCTTAAATAAGACTAATACATCATCATTAGTGGAGATCAATACATTTGGCAGCAAAGTAATTTAAAAATGAAGAATGAACTGACTCGTTAGGCAAGTTAATGTTGAAAATGCAATATTTGAGGAGTAATTTGAAGGCACTCATTCACAATTCTTTGTCGCAAGTCTTCTAATGATGTTGGCTGAGTAGCATAGATTTTGCTTTTTAAATGATCCCACATAAAGAAATCCAAAGGTGATAAATCTGGCGATCTTGGGGGCCATTCAATGGCACCTCTTCTACCAATCCATCGATCTGGAAACGTCTGATCTAAATATTGTCGAACACGTAATGCGTAATGTGGTGGGGCACCATCCTGTTGGAACATCAACCTATTCGTAATGTACCGCCGATCATTCTGATTTTCAATTATGGCTGTTAATGTAGGATCTATGGCGTCTTCCAGTAATTCCAAATACATTTCACCGTTAAAATGTCCAGGTAAGAAAAAAGGACCAACTAATGATTGCCAAAAATACCAGCCCAAAAATTTAATTTTTGTGGCTGCTATGTATGAACCTCATGATAAATTCGTTCACTCATATCTTCACAAAATTGTAATCGCCGATCAAAATCGTCTTCATTAAGTTCTTGTACCAGGTGAATTTTATACAGATGAATAATATGGGCCTTTAGAATCCGTTGAACAGTACCTCGACTAACACCACACACAGTCTCCAATTTGCGGGTACTTAACATAGGATCTACATAAACTTGCCCTAAAACCCCCACTTCTATTGCTTCGTTCCTTATAGGATTTTCAATGTTGCGTTTTTTATTGGCGACTGACCCAGTTTCCCGAAATTTAGCTACAAGTTCTAGAACATATTTTCGATGCACGTTACTGTTCTCATGTCGCTCATTAAATATGTCTGCTGTTCTATTAGCGCACCGATTATTTCCGAAAAATATTTCGATAATTTCAACTCTTTCTGCTGTGGAATATATACCATGGTTAATTTATGTAATAAAGCGTAACAAGTTATTTTAGCAACAAAGTTTGGTCAAATCAATCGCAAACTATGTACTAAATTCCTATTTAAAATAAGTACGAGATATTTCCTTATCTTTCTTCAAGAAATAACTTTTTTGACACAAAAAAACGCTCCAATAGCTATTTTCACCAAGAAAATGATAAACAAACCATGGGCGTAGTGAAGAAAAGCATTTACTTATTAAGTAAATTCTTTTAGTCAAATTTCTTCTGAAATTAGTACAAACTAATCTGATGTACCTATTAAAGTCTACTTTAAGCTTTAAATCAATAAATCTTCAAAACTACTGAACTGAAGCTCATGCATTTTACACCATTATAAAGGAAATTGAAAGACCTTTCAAATAAGGTATCACTCGACCCCCCTTTCAATTTAAGATTTTAGGGTTGGTATCACCCCCGCCCAGGGGGCTGCACGTGTTAACGTGATTTTTTGCCAAACTTGTGTCCCCCTCGAAAACAAAATCTACGGGTCTCAGCGTTTTTCCAAAAAAAACTGAGCTTCCAGTTAATGCGTCTGTTTCGTTTTCGATGCGCCACAATGTATAAATATATTAATAATTCAGTGAGACTACATTTTGTACAATTTTTTATTCCCTCACAATATTGTTTCTAATATATTTTTCTGTTAGTTTTAGGGGATGATCAAAATGAACTTACCAGGCGGAAACAACAAAACGACCAAGGTATTTTTGAAAGCATTATGCAGCATGCTAAATTACATCATAACACTATTAGTCTATAACTGCGGACAATTAACTTCATTTATCACATTTTTAAACATGGTAGATATCAATTATGTTCTAGAATTACATTTCCAACAGACAAACCCCCGACTGTGAACTCCTTCATTGTGCATGCGCTGTAAACGGTTTCAAATTTGATTCTATTATAAGACATTTTTCCGTCAACATACGTTTGATTTGACAGTGACAGCATCGTATTTGAAATTCATATGAAATTCTGTTTCTTTCCTTATTGTTGATACTGAATTACAGTTCCAGATATACTAAGTTCTTATATTTGATTAAACGACTTGTTCTATAGAATAAACAACTAATCGTTATATCATATCTATCTGCTACATCTCGAAAAATGATCTTTCATGTCCTGTGAACCACAAACATATGAATGTTTGCTCATAAGCACAAAATTCCCCATTGCCTCCAGTCGCCATTATGAAGAACATTCTGTGTTCTGTGTTCAGTCACATTGCGAGTCACCCTGAATTTTATTGTTCCATTACTTCACTTCCATTGTAAAGAGGTACATACTGCTACATTTATGTAATGTTCATTTATTGGTTATCTGGCTTCAATCTCTTCAATTGATAGCTATTCAAAGTTACGACGAAACTGAGAAAGTTGCAAACTCCCCAACACTATTCAAAAACCATAACTTAAGGCACACATAACAAAACAAGATCTTGTGCGGTGTGCTCATCTCACAAACGAGTTCCATCAAAATTCTGAGTACTGCTTGCTGAAACAGCGAACCCATGTACCCCAACTAGGTTTTACCCTTGCTTGACCGTGTTTTTCCACTGTGATTGCTCCTTTGGTTTCAAACCGTTGGAAATGTGATGTTAGAACATTACTATTGTTTCTCAATTTGACTGTATGGATCCTGCTTAAGTTCGACGTTGTTTGCAGCACAATTTTGTGTACTTAATTTTTACGTCAAAATCAAAGTTCATAGTTCCGTAATATGCAACTAACTCAACATAAGAAAATCATTCTTGCTTCTTACTCAGTGTTAATTTTAGCATGTCTTGAATATTTCCTGAGTATTATATAACACTTCTTCGGTAGCTGACGTTTTTCTTCGGAACGGACATTTTTTAATTCATAATTTGCCTCTCACAATATGTCAAGGATATGTAAATACCTAAACTGTTACTAACCATACCCATACATAGATGATAGTCCAGTGAATGTATATTCTGAGATTGCACCTTGTCATAAAGTTGCATAAGAATGATCAATTCGGCAAAATTTTCCATCAACAATTTGAAATTCCGATAGAAAGTTCAATATAGTTCTTATATTTTTAATGCTGAGATAGTATGTAGCTAACATGTAACACTCATTGTACTCGTAAATACGCTGAAGTCTTCAAATACGCGCAAGAAAAAAATGAAAGCTTGTAAATTCAACTTGGTTTGAAGAATAATGTAAATATGTATATAATGTAAAATGCTGGTTTTTACATTATACTTTCTGGAAAGCGTTTGGGAAAAATATCAAGATACAGTCATAAAAATCATCTTACTTTGAAACGGCATTTTCGATCTCTAACTTTACTGGACTATGAGCTATGAGATTATTTCCCTTACGTAACTGTACAGAGGATGTTAGCTAACAGATGATTTCAATTTTTGTATTGAAAAGTCCTTCAATTTATTAATTGTTGTTAATTTTGCTAAATTTAACTTTGGTTTAGCTCATCGCATATTCTAGCTTTGGATCTATGATGCCATTAAGTTGATGTGAGGTTAATTCACAGTTCTCATGTAAAACATATTTTCAATAAAATTATGCATTTTTACCGATTAATTATTATTAGTCGTTGTTATATAGTACGAGTATAACTTCATATTACACATTTTTCGTATATGCCCAGCAAGTTACTCACACTTATCGTATGTTTTTACCATATAGAGACCTACTGAGTTTTTCAATAATTTTGTTGAAAGTGACCAGAAGGTAACAAGGAATGACATATAACTAAATGGTACCATTGAACCACAATAATCGCAGAAATAAAGTTTGTTGTAGATGCCCTCTCCATTCCATGTCATAAAGACCGAATCCAGACATCAAGTTTGTCTTTTTTCACAATGGTTTCACTCCACCATATACAAAGTGTCTCAAGATAGCATTACGATCTCTAATATGCATGTTGAAAGCAAAAAGCTAATGTCACGAGCTCCTATAACTGACCCCAACGCAATCGTGTTGACATTTTTTCTTGTATTATAATATCCCAACAATAACATTTTTGGAAAGCATGCTCTTTAGTCTAAAAAAATGCTCTCTTATTTGACACCGACACTCTGTATATCAATTTCATTTAGACCCTATTTCACGAGTATCCATTACGTTTTGACGTCTACTGAGGTGAACAGCTGATCAGCAAGTGGCATCTTGGTATTTAGTCTGTAACGTTGCCGATAATGAATCGGCTTGGGTATCATATAAAAACCCTATAAAACGTCAAAAAAAACCTATAAGATGACACCTTGCAAACTAGGTAGTTTTTAGGGCGCAAACAGTCATTCCACGTTTGCTCACTAGGAGCGTTGTGAACGTGCATCTAAGGAGGAATCACTCAACCAAACTAAACGCATTATTGGTTGAATGTCTGTAGTTTTTATCCCTGAGAAGAGAGTTGGTTGAATAGCAAGATCGCGTCTGGATGATTATGTGCATTGATCTGCATGTATATAAAATCAGTAATATTTGCTGTGTTAGAAAATCATGACTGAATATGCTGCCAATGAAGTATATCTATTGGTTGTGCCCGACGGGTTATTTTTATGCTGTGCTTTCTGAAGAAAGGTTATGTTCAAAGTTATACATTACGAAAAACTGAGGAGAATTGCGCGTCCGCGTTGTGTGTAATTATTGTTAGCATGTATACGGCTTGTAATTCGACAGTTTACATAATTATTTCCTATCTCTCTCATTTTTGAAATTCAGCAAGTTTGTATATGTAATTTCCAGAATGGATATGAAAAAGTGAATGCGCAACTATCTTTGAATCTCAATTAAATGTATTTGAGACAAGAACCCAATGTAATTTTACAGCGCATTAGAGCCAAAGATGGATAACAAGCCTCATGACGTTTAGGCAACACGTACAACTAAATGCTAAGTTAATATCTTGTAGAAAAACCTACATAATGTAAAAAAAAACAGCATAATGTCAAAAAAATCGGCATAATGTCACTTTTCAAGTTACGTGATACCCTTGCCGGTGTAAGTAAGGTAAAACTCAGTACCGTATCCAGAGCTGTTAGTTGTTCACATATCTGGATACTTTTAGTGACTGGGAATTTTGACAATAAGATATACATAGAAAAATGTTATTATTATTAATGTACATCTGAGATTTATTGATTACGAAGTAAGTCAATAGAAAAGACTACGTTGTCCTTTCCAGCAACTGATGTAAGAAAATGATCTTGCACGTTACATTAACCTGCATCTGAAATCTTTTAATAGTTGAAAAATTAAAATTTGATATTTTTTAATATCTTGCACTCTTTGTAAAAACCATATCTTTTATTTCCCTCCCACAAGCGTTATCAGCTTCCACGTTTCTGTTTCCTTTGGATTTTTGCAGTGTTTTCAACAGTTGGCCTTTGCCTGTATTCACGAACACTGCATTGTCCTAGTTGATGAATACGCAGCTCACGACAAACAACAAGAAAATAAGGCTCTGTCTACCTGGCCTTGACGGATCCGTCAGAATTGTGCATTACTTGTTGATATGGAGAATTTTGAAATATCACTAGATTATCATCTGTGATTCTACCGTAATTGGTACTCGTGAAAAATTCCTTAAGGCAAACTGACATGGAATGAAAAATGTACAGACCTCCATATTCTGTCTTACTCACAATGTTATAATATTGTATAAAGTATTTTCTATTTTGTAAAATCTGTACTTTTCCCTGCTCGCCTGTAGATGTGACCACCGTCCTGTTGGTAGACAGTCAAGGCAGATCATCTCTAGGAAGATACCAAAACGTCAAACCTGATATAGGCTTGATCGCCTCAACTGCTCGCACTTTCATCCAAGACGGAGTCACTACCGAGTACGCGACACACGTACTTGGTACCACCTTGGACAATGGCCGCGTCTATGCCCACCTGCTATCCAAAAGCTCTAGGGTGCTCAACGACAAAGACCCATCTAAAAGTTTCACGTCTCAAAAGCAGTGGAATGTTAAAGATGCTCCTAATGAGTACGTTAAGAATATGGACTACATCGTACCCAACAAGGCAGGGGCCGTCTATGTCTTTCCTACTAAGCTGCAATACTATCCACATATTGAAAGTAATAAGCAGGTAGAAAATATGAATCAGGAATCTGTAGAAGAAGAGTTGTTGAAAGAGGCCCCTTCGAATAACTTCAGAGGTGCTTATGCAGACCAAGGAAAAATTGTGGTACCTCCAGTACAAAATAACATAAAGGTCTTCAAGATTACTCCACAGGTCAAAGATCTTACCTACGAAAATATAATCAACCACAAAGAAACTACTGACAAGCCGTTGAAGGATCAATTGACACCTTCTAAAGTAAAACTATGGGATAACGTGCCTACCTTCACTGTAAGAAATGAATTCTCACCGTCAGGACTATCGTACCTTGGCGATCTTCCAGATTTTGAAGAAAGAACAGAACATTCCAAGCTCACTACCCCAGCTGAACGTAAGGCTAAGCTTCTATTTAGAGCTGGTTTGTCCAAACCTAACCCAAAAGATTTGAAATCCATCACATATACTGGCTTCGCTGATTTCACCACTACTGTGGGAGATACAGTAATTTTTTTCACACCACACACGAATGATGTAAAGAAACCTGAAGCCGTAGCTGAAACTACGAAGATCTCAGTTGAGGCAACCATCCAACCAACATCTGTGGTCCAAGCGCCTGTCTTGACAAAATTGTTAGTATCTCCGAGACCTGCCATTGAGCCTAAAAAAGGGCCAATTGAAATGAAGACCTTACTTCCAAGTATGGTCATCGATAAGACAGATAGAGTAAGAGGTTCTAAGACTGTCATAGATGAACATATTGATATGGAAGCAAAATCAGCAGTTCTGGCACATGAACAAGGAAAAGATACTACGATCAATAGGTTCACTCCAGATGTGATACAACCATCAGAAACTCAACCAGTAATGCTTTCTACACCTTCTGACGAAGATATCGCTAAGATATTTGCTTCGCTTCAGGCTCAAGCTAAGCAAGTAACTCAACCACTTCAACTTGTTCCAAAAGAAGAAACCAAAGAACCTAGCTTAACTGGTGCTACAACTATTTTCTTCGACGATGACCTGCCAATCGAAACAAGTTCTGTGGAGGTACCTATTACTACAGCTGTCAGTGAAACAACCACAGAAAAGGAGCTAGAAACTACCGAGAAACAACCAACAACAACTGAAGAAATACCAACTACTAGTGAAAACGTAATTACAACCACACCAGAAAGTAAGGAAAGTCAAACTGAAGATGAAGAAGAAGATGACGATGATGTTGATATAACATGCACCAGAGTTCTAGTTCCTACCACAATATACAAAACGCTAACATATCTTACAACGTTCTACATACCTGTTGAAGGAAGTACATCAACCTCTGTCCGATCAAATGAGGTGATCAACACCGAAAGTGGGTACGAAACGAAACCTTGTGGGTACCTGTCACCTACTGAATCATATTCAGAAGCTTTGGCACCTTCAAGCGTAATACAACAACCTGTAGAAGCTCAGAAAGCTAGCAACATTGAAACAACAACTCTTGAACAGCAAACTACTACTGAAGAAGGTGTTACTGAGCAAAGAATTACCACAGTAACTCAAGAAATTACTACAGAAGAACAGCAGGTTACTGAATCGGAGCCTGAGACAACTGAAGCTACAACTGAGGAAGATGAAGAAATAGAATTGATCTTTAAGACGTTGTACACTACATACACCTACCTCACAACTTATTTCCAAGATACTACCTCTTCGATAGATAGTAGGATTGTAGTGACGACAAATGTCATAACATCAACATTGGATCCTAATAGAGAGATAACAGACGAAGCTGTGGCAGGTCTTATGGAAAAAGTAGAGAGTCCTGTTTCCAAAACAGTGTCCTTCGACGATTTAGCCGATATCAACCCATCAAACGTTGCTAGTGTCACACCTACACGCTCAGCCACTCCTGAAGTCCAAGAAACTAGTGAAGAGTCAGGAGAATCTGACGTTTCTAAACCTACACCTACACTTGATAATAACAAAGTGCTAGAAACTACTGCGGATGGTCTGAAGACATATTACACTACTTATACTTACTTTACAACGATCTTTGTTGATGGAGAGACGGAGATCTCTAGCAGGACAGAGGTGTATACAAACTATGTCACCCCATCTCAAGTTGCACCAGGAGATAAAGAAATTCTTCCTACAAAGATTCCTGATGCTGAAAGGAAAGAGAAAATATTAAAATTAAATGCTTATAATACAATAACTAGACAGAAAAATGAAGATAGCAACGAAATTGCAAGCACTCCCAGCACTAAAGGACAAGATTATGTTACTTTGCAAAGAGGAAGTACTACAACTGAAGACAACGAAATCGAAGATGAGAACAACATCCTAGATTTGAGTGAATACGAAACAATTGAAACTATGGTTACAGATGTGAGAAGTAGTACTTCCGCTGGTGAAAGACGAGTAATTGATAATATAGATAAGAGAAATATCCTTTTGGATGATCAAATTGTCTCAGAATCAAACAACGAATCAGAGGTTTTACCATCTCCAACGCTACTGCTTCAAACCAGTTACACCACATTCACTTACTTCACGACAAAGTACCATGGAACCACCTCAAGCGATGTTGTGAGTCGATTAGAAACTATCACAGATGTTGTGACACAAACCTTATCACCAACCCAACAAGTGACTCCAGAAGATGTCAGTCAACCAGTAACTTACTTCACCACTTTCACATATTGGACTACTTTATACAAAGATGGCACTACAAAAGTCACAAGTCGTGAGGAAACCGTTTCTGATATTGTAACGCCTACTATTGGACCTTCAAGCGTGGTTCCAATAGTTGCTACAGAAGTACCTGAAATACCCAGCACCAAAGCAGTAGATGAAGCTATAGTACCATCAACTGTTGGAGATGATGATTTGACTACGTATTTCACAACTTACACTTACTATACTACGTCTTATATTGGAGATAAGACTGTTTTGAATAGTAGGCTTGAAACTGTCACCAATGTTTTAAACAATTCTGATATAACTACAAATCAGATAGGCAGATCAATAAAATTGCCTACAGTAAACAGAATTGAAGATGCTTTAGAAAAACCAAAAGCGATAAACGCAAGCAGTGTGCTTAAACCAACAGGAATTCTTTCAACTATCGTCAATACTGTTGAAAATAATGGGACTACAACTTTGTTATCAACAGATGTGTATGGTACGTACATAGATGGACTTTACGCCAAGATACTGGAAAGTACTTCAAGCGTTCTAATTCAAGACATAACACCTTCTTCTGTAGTGACTGAATCGCTTTATCCAACTGGAGTTGTGAGCATCAACGAAGGCAAAATCGTTGACGCTGAAGGTGTTAGTACCTTACTATACACAACGAAAGCTGTAGGTACTTACTTAGACGATACGTACACTACAGTGACAGAAAGTTCTAGTTCACTAGCAGTTGATGAGGAGAAAAAAGCTGCACTACCAACAGATTTGCCCATAGCTCATAGAACAGGACTAGTGAGATTGATAGAAGGATCTATCATCGCCAATGATACCACTACCTTCTACGAATCCAAAGTTTTAGGTACAGTTATAGATGGAAGATACGCACAGATCATCGAAAGTACATCAAGCTTCTTGACCAGCCCCAAAGCGTCAGTAAGTCCAAGCGGTGTCAGTGACATCAGCCCTTCTGCAACAGTTGCACCAGATGGAAACATAGCTGGCACGGCTACTATTTCTCTATCACCAGTCGTGATAGAAGGTTCTATCAGTGATACAGTTAAAGATGATGCTGATAGTAGTACAGAAGAAAGTGAAGAGGATGATGACAAAGACGGCGGGCGATCAAAATCTAGACTGACTTTCCAATCAAGAAAAAGAACATTCACACCTGCTATAAGACCCTTTGCTTCAAGACAAAGACCTACGTTTGCTCCAAAACGAAAACAGTCTGGTCAAAGTACTGCAGCTACTATAACAAGAAGTGACTTTACACCAACCGTTACTGCTGTTCCAGCTTCTAGAGCAAACCGATTTGGAGCTAGAAGGTCGTCCTCAACACCAGCTGGTGTCCAACCTACAGCTTCAGGAGGTAGAAGGTTTTCACGGCCAAAATCTAGCTCTGCAGGAGGCAGGAGATCTTCTTCTGCTAGAATTCAGCCTACTTCATCAGGATTTGGAGGTAGCTCGCGGAGGGGAGTCTTTAGGACATCAAACGCAGGTGGTTCAGGGATCAGACCTAGTTCTTTATTCCCTGCCAGGCCAAGAATTCGACCAACAGCATCGCTTGGCTTGAACAGAGCAACTGCTTCCGCACAAGTAACCCAGCCAACTGTAGATGAACAAAATGATCTAACCACTGTAGTGACTGATGAGATCGATACCTCAGCAGAAGACAGTGAGACCACCTTGACCTTGCAAACGACAACAGAAGCCACAACTAGAAGAAACCAGAACCCTCTGTTGAAGTTCAGGAGACCTCCGCTAAGACCTACTTCAGCTACAAGAACTAGAACTACTATCAAGAAACCTGCAAGTACTACTACTACCACTGCCAGACCAAGAGTCACGAGACCTCCAAGTAGTCTGATCAATAGGCCAAGACCTAACGCGTTGTTTCCTAGAAGAGGTCTGTTCACCACTACTACACAGGCGCCGCCTCCAGAAGAGGAGGTCGATGTAGTTGAGGAGGGTGAAAACGAAGAAGATCTGGAAGAAGAAGGTGATGTTGAAGAAGACACTGACTATGACAGTTCTCTTACCAATACTCAAACTGCTAAACCACCACTGAAACCCAAAGCAGGAGTATCTATCAGACCTTTCTCAAGAAGAAGGTCAAAGAGGGATACCTACTCCAGGTTCAAGAGACCTATAGGTCGAACTACAACAGCAGCAGCATTAGAGCAAAGAGAAGACATCACGGAAGTTCCAAGGTTCTCTAGTAGAGGAAGGTTTTATCCTAAAAGAGGGAACTACAAGTCTTCCACTACAACTACAACCTCAGCACCTACTCAGTCTGGGCGAAAACGGATATCTCCAAGCAAGCCCCTATCTCAAGGTCGCACTCAATTTACTTTGAGGAACTCAAAGGAGAAACTGAGTATGACAACAAAAAGAACTAATACAAGAGGTGGAGGTCGGCCGACAACCCCATCAAGACAGAAAATAGCTAGAGGAAGGTACCAAACTGAAACTACAAATAATAGAGGTAGACAAACTCCAAGGACAACAAATAGAGGCAGAGGTACACAAAGACAAAGATACAGCAAGGAAGATATAGATACTACCTTCTCTTTGCCAAACAATGATGGTAAAATTACTGTTACTCATCATTTACCTATCGAAGTTACAATTCCGGTGGTAAATGGGAAAGTCACTGAGTACAAGAACGTAGTTTCAGCGAAATACAGTACTGAGGTTCTGGATAGATCCCAGTATACAACATCTATCAATCCTTTAGGCAAAGAGGTCAAGGTATTAGTGAGTGAAAAGTCTGAGTTGGATGGTAATGGTGCCACATTGATCACCCAATTTGTTTTGAATGAAACTCCTACTACTACAGTTTTGTACACTCCTACTATTATAAACAGAAGAAAGACCTCATTTTCTCACGTAGTACCCAGCACTAAATACGATGTAGACGAGGTCGTGACTACAATTCAACCAGCTTTAGCGGCTCAGGCACCTCTGGCTAACATTTTGCTATCACAGCTCCTTTTAGGAGGTCTAGCACCTCAACCAAATGCCTTGCTAGGTATCCCACCTGGAGGTTACGTTGCTGCGACGCCTACTACAGAGCTCAAGACCAAAACCACGACTTACGTCACGACTGTCACTAACGAAATATCAACTGTTATCCCTCTGACCTTCAGAGGCAAAGAGATTCTCACTACTTTAATAAGCAGTAGCGTTAGTGTAATCACTGCCACTGAGTACCTCACAGAAACTGTAACAGTTACTCCAGCGTTCCCTGTGACTCCTCAATTTAACACAGCTTTGCTTTTGCCTTTACTGCAGCAACAATTGCAACAACAACAACAAAATCAACATCAATCAGCAAGTCAGTTCTTACAAGCTCAACAACCTGCAGATGTCTTTAATTTGAACAATGAGCCTATACAACAACAATCTCTAGAAGAAACTGAAAACTTAGCTCTGGAGGAGTCACAAGAGCTGGTGGAGCAGCAAACTACTGAAGGTCCAAAACGAAGAGCTTCTAAACCGAACAAAAAGAACAAGCAAGCTCCTGTTGAGCCTCCAAAAGAGACTAGTGTAGTGACACTTTACGTTTCAGGCAGAACTCCTGGGGAGTTCACTACAGTTTTAAGCACAGTAATTGTCGGTGAGGAAGACAAGAGAAGCAAGAGAGAAGTTGCTGTTCCTGTAACTCCTTCTCAGCTACCCCGTCAGCTATCTATTGAAGTTCTGGATGACTATATCATGCCTGCCTCAGAAGTACACCTAGAAGCTTCTGAGTTGACGAAGGAAACAGAAAGTTTGGAAAGCATTATTGGAGATGTTTCCAAGCACGTCATCACAAAAACTCCGGAGTTATTTAACGTCAAGCCCACAAAATCAACAAAAGCTTCCAAAAAGTACAAGTTAAAATATGTTAAAGTCTCGGATAGTAAAAAAGCTTCGTCGGATACTTTTTTAGAGTAAGTGACCTTAGCAAAGTGGCCCCGCTAACGCCAAAGGTCGAAACGTCTCAAAACCGATGGGGCATCTCTGATACTAATAATTCCTATAACGTTTCGAATGATATTGGCAATAGTACTAACACACTAACTCATCCAAGAAATAAAAGAGATGTTTCTGAACATCCCAGAAGAAGAGTCATCAAAAAATTGATCAGCGTGAGGCCTGTTCAGAACGCAACAGCAGAATCTTATGATACTAACAATGATTTAGGTTCTATTAACGCTCGTAGAACACCTAGAAGACGATTGAAGATAAAGAAGAAGAAAAAAAGGTTGTTGAGCAATAATGGAACGCTGACAGATGATTTGCAGCATCCTAATAAGCTAAGCGATCCTAACTTTGATGAAGAGCATCTTCAACAAGCTACAAAGCCTAGAAGGAAAGTGGTGATCACTAGAAAAAGAATCTTGCCAAATAGTAGTAAGTTAAGTAGTGCTTTAAAAGATGTTGAGCTTCAAGGAACTGGCATAACTGCTACTCCTACGCTCAAGGTTCAGCAAACTACGATTGAAGCGCCAGAAGAAGATAAAGACGTTACTGAAGAGAATCTAGTTGAAGGTGTTGAAACTACAACAGTGGAAGACGAAGAATCTGCTACTGATGAAGCAGACTATGATGATGACTATTACGATGATGAAGATAGCCTTACAGAAGGAACTACTGAAGTTGTAACAGAGGAAACAACAGATGCTACCGAAGAAAGCTTTATAGGTACCACAGAAGACTATAATGAAGACATAGATGATATGCCAACGTTTCAAGACATTCCAGAGTACGAACCATCGTTCCCAGAGCTAACAGAATCTCTAGATTCTCCATTGCTTCCTCTAAAAACCACCGTCCTTTCTTCTGTCGATGTTTTGACGAGTACTGTGACTGAAAGTAGACTGCGTACGTACACCTTTGTAGTGACCAGAGTTAGCGGTACCGAACAGATAATTAGCTCGACAACCGAAGTACGACCCCAAGTAAAAACGACGGTACTGACCGAACCTGTGACGAAATACACGACCTTGACGCTTCTGGACTTCGACGATACTGCAGACATACCTTCTTCCACCTTGGACCTACCTCCTTCTCTGCTTCTTGACCAAGGTGAGTCCTCTTTTGTAAATTATTTCTTTTAAGTTGCAACAAGTGACTTCGCTGTATTCGTTGTGGATATGGATATTATTTACAACTTCATCGTGTTTTGTACATTGATTACATATACATATACTGTGGAAATCGCGGATTGACCAATGTGTAATCAAAGTACAAAGTTAGGGGTTTCTTAAGTTACTTTGTAATAGATTCTAAATCATCGAAAACAGCGATTTTACTCTTACATGTTTTGTATAGATGTGTTTTGTAGTCCATGTATATTTTACAGTTGACTTAGTAACTTCGAATTTTGCCTCTTTTCTTTTCTAAAATTTGATGTGTCTGTAAATGCTATCTTTTTGAATCTAGAGCATAATTGTAAATACGTTATGTAATATAAGTTCTTATATAAATGACATTCGATGTCATTCCCTACTTCTTGTGTGAGCCTTTTTAGTAGCTGGTTCCTCATATACTGTTTTGTCCTTGTCGATACTGTTCAATATGACACAGTTGAGATATGACGAGAGCCTTAGTAACCAGTTGCCGAAAAATTAATTTTTCGTAAATCTGAACAAAATGCATGGATTTTGCGCGTGTAGGAAATATGACTTTGTACATAATATTCGCATGAAACTGCATTTTTTAGATATAACCGTTTAATTTTCCATAGAAAACACAGACAGTGAAGAAGCCAGGTATAACCTTGCAACTCGCGTGATGTCCAATGGCGTAGAAGTAATTGTGGCTGGCGACAAGACGACTTATCCTGGAGACGATGCCAAGAGGATCCTGCCAAGTGCTCAAGTGCCTATCACTCTAAAGCCAAGCACTCTTACTGATCGAATGGTGCTCACGTTGCCTCAGGAAACAGCTAGTGTAAGTCAACCTCCATGACTTTATCGGTCGTTTCCCCATATTACAAGGTACACGTCAAATAACAGAACTTGGGCCAATGTCTAGAAGCATGTCTTGCCTAACCTAAAAAACTACAAGTTTATTTCAATAAACTTTACATATATGCCCATATTTTATGGTGTACCCCAAGGAACAGTATTAGGTCCATTGCTTATCAACATGTTCATATTAATGATTCCATTCTTTCTGAATGTTCTAGAAGATCGTTAGATTAAATTTTCATTTGTGTTTTAGTTCGCATATATAGAATGTCCTACGATTTGACTTTATTTTTCTTTCTAGCCAAGTGAGTCAACTCCGCTCCTCTACAACGATCAATTCATAACTAAGACTTGTCTAACAACATTCACCTATCTAACCACGTACCTGGTAGATGGAAAAACATCTGTTTCTAGTCATGAACAGGTTGTCTCTAACATTGCAACCGAAGAAAGGAACACTGGCAAGATATTACCTACACCTGCTGTGGGTATCACTTTAACTCAGGTAAGTTCAATATCTCTGATCTGTGTTTCTCTACTGTTACTAGTACTATTAGTCCTCTTACAAAGGATGAATGTTTTAAAAACAAGATCATCTTTTCTTTCAGTATCCCAACTTGTCCGTGGGTCTCTTCAAAACGACGTACACCTACCTCAATACAATTTTGGATGGAGAACAACCATTGGTAGTTTCCTCAAAGCATACGGTTACCAACACTGTCACCGCACCTGATGACTATCTATCATTCCTTAAACCTTCAGAGACAACCGCCCCGCTGAAAGATACAAATACTTACTACAGTACTATCAACCTCGAGAAAACTCTTTACGAAGGCAACAAATCTTCTGTCATTAGTACTAGAGAGCTTGTTACTCAGGTTATCATCACTGAGAGTATTCCACCTAGAGCTACCTCTGTTATGACGTCATACATCGCTTTAGATGATGCTGTGTCTTCACCGTATTCCACAACAGATGTTGTAAAAACATACTATGTAACATATACTTACTATAACACACTGACAGAGAATGGTAAAGAGGTAATTCACAAAAATATATCTACTTCGGCAGATGTAGTGACTGAGAAGATCTATCTGCAGTCTAAAAAACAAACTTCAAGTGTTATCAACACCGAGCCCATCGCTAGCGATGAGAAGAAAAAGCAAAAGATCGATACTACCTCTGAAAACTTCAAAATTCTAGCTACAAAATCGTATTTCACTACTTTCACTTACTTTACAACCTTGCTTCAAGACAATCAAGCATCTCCAACAGTGGTCAGCTCCAGATCTAAAGTTGTCGAAAACATTGTCACAGAAACTATTGAACCTTCTCTAGTTAAAGAAGACTATCTGACTGATATAAAGAATAGCATTAGAGATGGTTCAGAGTCTGTCATAAGACTTATTGAGTTACAAAATGGACAAACGCTTGAAGTGATTGCAGTTAGCGATACTATTACTCCAACCAAGGTAATGTATATAGAAAAGACTCAAATTCCTGACATAACTCATCAAATAGAGAATGCTTCTTTAGAACCATCGTCATCTTCTAACGTCATCACAGGTTCAACTATAGTTTTTGTTGATGATGATCCGTTTGCTCAATTTGCCGCTACTCCAAGCTTGTCTACTAAATCCAACGTAGCTTCAACTGTTGTGACGAATTTGGGATCCTTGTTGAGCTCTGAGATCGTGAAAAAGACCAAGGTGACGTCTAGCAAAGCAAAGAGAAACAAAAATAAGACTAAGCCTCCTAGTATTTCGCCTACCAAAATCATAAACGCTATCGAAAATACTGAGAGCGATAAGTTAAAACAGCAGCTTGATAAGAAAGATAAGAAGCAACCAAATCCTGATCAGTCAGAGCCAGTATCTGATCTCTTAGGATTGGGATCAATAAATATCAACAGTCTTCAAGCATTGACTCCTGTTTTGAACGCAATGGCAGGTCTGATAACCACAAACTTGAAACCTAATAGGAGAAGCGATAATGTCACTAGCGCCTCAGCAAGTACAACAACGCGCAAACCTCTAGTAACTCCGCATATTGAAAAAGACGATACTCAAAATCGTTCCCCAATATACATACCAGTAGGAGGTCTTTCCGATGACTTTGAAATCGCCGAAAGTCAAAACATCGCCACTTTCGAATGGGTTGACCCACCTGGTAGAGGTGGGCTACCTCGTAAACCAACTCAAGAAGCATCTCTACTTAATGGAGCTATCCCAATATCACCTGGAGATGTGATCACAGCTAACTCGGATGTCATTGTGGGTAAGCCAGGAAGAGTTTTGCCTAGGATACCTTCGATTCCACTCAACCAACTGGGTCAAGATAAGGATATCCCACTGGATATGGAGCCTCCTCCAATACCTAATAAGCCATGGCCAAAGAAGAACTACCTCCAGGATTCAGCTCCTGTAGGGAGTGTGAAGACTAATGTCATCCACGTGCCTAACAAGGATGATTACGTTGGACCTCCTCCACCTTTGTACCCTAAACATAAGATGAAGCATATACCCCTCATTCCTCCCAAGAAGGATGTTGGATCGTACTACGAGAAGAACTTCAATCAAAGACCTCAAGTTTACGCGAATGCTCAAACGAACTACGAACCAAACCATGTGATCAACGAGATCAACCATGAACACAACTATTTTAACTTGCAAGAGTCGATTCACAAAAACTACCACTCAGTCCAATCGTACCCCATATATGCTCAGGGTCACGCTACTCCGCTGTTAGTACCTGATTTCATCAAGCCTTCAGTACCAATAGTTCTGCCTGAGGTGATAGAGCGATCAACAGGTCAACCGTTACTTGTCGACATCCAACCTAGTCAGGTTGCTTTCGTCAAAATACCTTTCAATAGAACAACTGCGTTGATCTATGGGGGATCAACAGAACCTCACAGGAATGGTCAGTACTTCGACGATCCCTCACCATATCCAGATTCTGGATTTTCTGATCTTGGTTACAACCGGAATATACCTCAAGTGCACTCGGAAGCTTATGAACATCATTCAGCTGATCAGAAGCAGGTAAATGGAGTAATCAAGGTCGGGAACCAATTGATAAATGTCGAACCTGAGGTCAGTGAGAATCAGAAGGTCTTGGTAAACATCAAGCCTAGCAAACCTCAGTTTGATATGATACGACCTTCAATGAAGAATAATCATGATGTCAACGTCAACGTTCCTCCAATTTCGTTTGGACTGGTCCAGCAAGGTAATGAGTTTCATGCGCATGTTATCAACCATAACAGTGGGATTGAATTTAGACCTCCTCCTCAACAGTATGAAGTGATGAATTCACAGATCAATCATTCTAACTATCCTCAAATGGATTCTCACCCGCTTCAACCTCTGAGTAACGAAATTTTGTCTCAACCAACACCTGAAGGGCAGAGACCCCATCTTAGACCACCAGTTGCAAAGCCTGAGGAAGGAAACTTCATCAATAAACCTCTTAAGACTGATGAGGGAAGTTTCAATAAGCCAAGTTATCCTCAACGTGAAGAGCGGAGGCCCCCTGTTAGAGCTGAAGGGCAAAGACCTCTTAGACCACTAGTTGCAAGGCCTGAGGAAGGAAACTTCATCAATAGACCTCTTAGAACTGAAGAAGGAAGTTTTAGTAAACCAAGTTATCCTCAACCTGAAGAGCAGAGGCCTACTGTTAGACCTAAAGAGCAGAAACCTCCCCTAAGGCCTCCACCTGTAAAGCCTGGAGAAGGCAATTTCGTCAACAAACCAAAATATCCGTTCCCTCCAAAACGTAATATATTCAGATTGAAAGCTCAACCTCAAATACCAGACAATGTAGAAATAAAAGATTACATGACCCCTCCTCCCTATATTCACAGCACTTTGGCTAAACGACCTTCAGGACCAGGTAGGAGACCTCAACCAATTCCTTTAGGAGCAAGACCGTTATATCCAGAACCTCAAAAACCAAATTATTATCATACAGTGACTCCAGGCACTCAAGAGGACAAGATCATGGTTGATGGTCCAGGTTATCAAATAGACAACAAGAAACCTACAGAACATCAGTACATTCCATCGTTCTTTGAAGATGATATGGATATTGGGGATCATGAAGAAGATGACTTGCCAAACGAGGATGGTGAGGTCATACAAGAATCAAATAGTAGACCTCTTTTTCCAGGCGAGATACCATTTGAGATCCTTAAAGCTAAGGCTACGACTACAGAAAGGCCGAGAAATAATACTGTGAGGTTCCCAAGTAATAACAAAGATAGATTCCATGGTAGACCAGGTCAGAACAATAAGGTAAATGTCATTGATACTGACTTCGACGCTTTACGTACCTCTACAGAAAGAGGTAGACCTGGAGGTTTCATCGTTGTTGGAAACCAGTTTGAGAGCAATGATGGAGCGAACCAGATTGTAGTTAGTGGATCACAATTTGATGACAAGGTTCCGTACAATAATAAAGCATTTACAACGACCGAAAGAACTACTACTGAAGAGTACCACAGATTCTCAGAGACTTCTTATGGTAACGTATTTAGTTTTAAGACTAAAACGACTCCTATTACTACAAAATCTCCTACGACTACTACTCGTAAGCCTGTATTGATATTTTTGGATGATACTGGAAAGCAAAGCAACAACTTCTTCAACAAGAATCACGAGAGGCCTTCAGTTACTTCACTGCCTATTGATACTCATGTTGCAACAACTCATACGAATCAAACCAAGAATGTGGAGACTCAGACTGAAAAACCCTTCAATCCTCAACAAAATCCGACCTTGTCTTCTAATCAGATCTTGATCAAAGATGTCACAACGACAACTACAGCGTCTACAAATCCGGAACTGAATACTGGGGAGGTAACTGTATCGTTCAACAACGTTTCAAAGGAAATATCTGATATGGAAATCTTGAAGCCGCCACCTCTTGTAACAGATCTTCCTGCCAAACCACCAATTACTAAGCCGTCTAGGTTACCGGAAAATAACTTTGCTCCGACCAAACCTCCAAGAAATCCTTTGGAAGAGTTGGTACCCCCTCCAGCAACAACTACTGAAGAGGTGTTAGGAATGAGTCCACCGCCTTTGGTTACGACTTACCGACCTGCCCTGAAGCCGATATTCCCAGTACAAACTAACATTTCCAAAGAGAGACCTCCTACGAGTAGCACAACAGAAAGATACAGACACACAAGACCTAGCAGGAGACCGTTCACTAGAAGACCTACAGGTTTTAGGACATCAACAACTCCAGTTCCTATAACAACTAGGAGAAGACCATATTATCCAGGTTACGATGTACTGAAGAGAAACGTGACAACAACAAGGCCTGTCATAAGTCCATCTCCTACTGTACAGTACAAACCATCCTTGCAAGTTATTATTGGAAATCCAAGCTCGGAATCAAAGAACGAATCAGTTGCAGCAACTACAAGGCCATTTGTGGAACTAGATGGATCTGAAGCGTCTACCAAGGAACAAACTACAGAAACGACAACCTTGCTCAAAGAACCAACAGATCTTTTGACGAGTAGTAGTGGATCTATTCTTCCTAGTACTACTATGAAAGAAGATACTATCACTAAAGGCGTTCACCACGCTGGAAATGAGATTAAAGTAATAGATGATACGCCCTCACTATCAACCAAGGTTATTCCACCAAGTTCTGCTCTTCCTACAAGGTATATAACATATACCAAGACTGATACAGTGACCATCACCAAAACCACCGTGGTAAGGACATCTGGTTTGCCTCCATCTACTTTAACCATATTGGTGACAAAGACCGAAAAAAGTACCATTGTTGACACAGTAACTGAAGTACGAACACTTGTAAAGCCGACGAGTGTTGTTGAAACGATAACTACTACAGTACACCAGGGTAGTTCACTATATCCACCAGACATGTATGGAAGTACTTACCCTTCAGTTCAGGTGACGCCTAGTACAGTGAAACCCATATCTGAAGTTTCAGCTACAAGAGTAGAGACCCGCCACAAAGAAGACAGCGTGGAAGATTTTATAATCACAAGTCCTGAAGATGATAAAAAGGAAGACCTGGGTCAAGACTCGATTTTGGTGGTGATGACTGATAAGAATACAAAGAATATAGTAAAGGTGCCAAATGAGACAGTTGAGATCCAAAGTTCTGAAGAAGTGGAGTATAACAGTGTGGAGAATAATCTGTTGTTAGGTGGGATTTTTATTGGAAATCGCCCTCATAGTGTCGATAAGTGTGAACCAGAGTGCAAAGCAACAAGAAACGAACTGTGCCAGAAGATAGAAGGAGTGATGAGATGTGTGTGCAGACCAGGGTTTGCAAGAATGTTCCTGGACCGGCCATGTTTACGTAAGTAACAGTATTTTGTTCTTGAATTTTCAACAGCTCTACAACTGTTACACTGTCGTAGGCAATGCAGTCTGTTTTAAAAGTGGAGAGTTTTCTTTCGGGAAACACGGATTTGTTCAATCTTATAGGATAACTTCCATTCATTACAGGGTGTCCTAACAAAAATGGAAAGTAGTTTTATGAGCAAACTGGAAAATATATCAAAAATCTGTTTTAGTGATAGCCTTGATATGTTACTAGTGACATATTTCTTTAAGTAGATATTTTATTGCATATTTGAAGGGATCTTCTAAAAGAAGGAGTTTGATATCATATAACATAATTATGGTGTCGATCGTGAATTGTTTACATCTTTAGTAAAATGTCTGAAAAATGACCAACTTTGACGGCTCTCAGTTCCACCATTTTTTATGATATTTAGACAAATTTTAGTTCACCTAAATTTTATTATACCCGATCTTAAGCTGATCTAAAATACATGCTAAAACATCTTTTTATTTATACAGTGTATTAACAACTTTAAAATATGCACTAGTAGCATGTCAAGCTACTACAACAGACTTTTGATATATTTTCCAGCTTGCCTGTATATATTAGTATCTGATGGTAGCTCAGAAATGTCCTCAATGTGATTTTTTGACAGGCTGTAGTTTGGTGAAAGTTGGTGGTATAGACATTGAAAAAGCATTTGAAGCTCTACGGTTCTAGTTTTTAGGTGTTTAACAGAAAAAAATGCGCTCGATTTTCCAAAAGAAGGCAAAAAATAACTTTTTTTTGAAGCTTTTAAAGTGAATACTAAGGAAACAAAAAATAATTTCCCCAATGATTAGAATTAAATCTTATAGGGGCTTGTTCCAGTTTTTGGAAATACCTTTACATTCTCTGTGCGATCACTGGTTACCGAGATATCAGTGGTCGATGACAAAACGATCCTTTTTCATTCAGTCAGATGTCTCCGCGCCAAATCATAGTGCCGAGATTTAAGAACTGGATGTCGAAACTGATGCATATAATGGCCTAACAGAATTTTTTGTTCAAGCTCGTGGACATAAAAAGGCAAACATTTTGCAAAAAATTTGTTCTTGCCCTGCTAGAACTTCATAACTCTTGGTCCTAAAATGTTTCAGCTAGAGAACCTGAAAACCTTAATTTTGAAACTTCAAAATGGTTTTTAAACCCATTTATGCCTAAAGAGTTGCAAAAAAGTTTTTTTATTATTTTTTAAAAAACCTTATTAAAAGACGACACTTTGGAGGTATTTTCAATTTATTCTTAAAAAAAATACATAAACAGTTAGTTTAGGAATAAGGGTAGCTATAAGAATAATAATAAAAAAAATATTGAAAATAGTACAAATATTTTGAAACACATCAATATTGCAAATTTTAAAGAGTATGATATTGAACAAAACATTTCACGTGAAGGCCGACATCACATTTTCTACATCTAGTAGTCGTGCGCTTATGACAGTGTGCACACCTTGTTTGTTTGCCTTGTGGAATGACTAAATGATCTAAGCGATCATACCTTATGTCACCAAAATTTCTTGATTTACCTTGCTGGTACGTATAAGTCTTGTTATTTTGTGTCAAGATAGTTGTAGCTACACTTCTTCTAAATTGTAATTGATCCACGTTATTTCCTCTCTTTTTATAAATATGCCAGGCGTTTGTCAGGGCCATATCTACACATTGAGAGATCAACGAGAAATACCATTTTTTGCCTCGGATTTGTACTCTGTATTGAGCTATAATCTGGTCTGACCTATCCACCCCGCCCATACATTAATTATACAGCTTAACAACTTGGGGCTGATATATAAACACAAACTTTTTTTCTTTTTGAGAATACCGCTTTACTGAATTTACTGGTTCAATTCCAATCGCTGTAGACCCAAAAGTCAATATTGTTGTCATTCCATTTTACAAAAACTAAGTTTTTATCTTTTACTTTGGTATAATCAAACACTCACACGTTGTTCCTTTTTCATAAGTTTTGAATTTTTCAAAGAAGACATGCGTATACGGTTTTCACGAATCGTTCCTGTACCACATGTGCCTTTTTCAGTCAAGCTTTCAAACAAAGCTGGCGAAGAAAAAAAAATATCAAATACAAAATGAAACCTAAGATTTGCCCATTTGCTTTTTAGGTTATCAGCATAGCTCAATACAACTGATGCGCCAACACCATAAGATGTAACCAAGAGTAGTAGCGCCAACCCAAAATTTGAAGCCATAACGTATTGGTTTCCCGTGGATATACTGTTTACAACCATGTCGCCCGTTGTATGGAACCATTGCCTCATCAATACTATGATGCTCTTCTGGTACTGCGTATTCCAAAAAAATTTTATTTAGGTGATTGAAAAGACGCCTTAGTTTAGCAAATTTATCATTTGCATCCAGAGCTTCATTGTTTAGGAAGTGAATGTGAGACATTATAAATTCAAATTTATCGCGAGAAATAGCTTCAGAAACAAGTGAGTTGTGTGAATCACTGGATTTTTCCCAATACATCCTTCTGCGAGATACACTACTGTAGCCACTCAACAATAATATGCCTAGAAAACACTTGATTTCAGATTTGGTAACCATAATATTCCTGTTTTTCGGTTGAGCATACCGATTTGTCTCCTCAACTATTATGTTCAAAATTTCGTCATAAAAAAACTAAAAAATATCTCGGTTGGGGACTGCTCCGGTTCATTTTGATTTTCGTTGTTTATTGGAAACGCATACTCATTTCTTGGCAAATCTTCTTTTACGTAATTATATTTTTTCTTCTTTTTCACTTCCTTCCGATTATTATCCCTGATTTCACTGAGTGGTATTTCATCTTCTGAACTCCATATATCCTCGTTTTGATCCTTATTTACTTCGACCTCAACTTGCATTAAACTTCCTGGCAAGTTGTTGATATCCAGTATTTCTTCGTCTCCAGAATCCTCGTCGGTTATGTTACCGCATGCATTAGTGGGAGGTAACAAAGTGATAGACTCAGCTTCAATGTCGTCATCTTCTATAATTGCTAGCGCCTCATGCAAAGAAAAACCCCTGAAACAAATGTCCCTCCTCAAAATAATTACTTATCCAAAAATAATTTACCTAAAACCATTTTATTTTTGTTTTGACTATGAACATATTCGTAGACCCCTTTTTTCCTGATGTACTAAATATAGTACACCTAACTTTATCATAACCTCACAAACAAAACATGAATGAAACACATCATAAAATCATAAAATCTAGAAGATGCAACTAAGGAAATAATATTTTCATAAAAATAAACTAGTTTTTTTTTTATTTCATGTCATAAAAAACCTACTTACTTTGCAAAGCGCACGCCATATTCATTCATCTTCTATTTTCCAATATACAAAAACTGATTTCACATACAAAATATTGCACAATACGCAAAATTACTCCGTACTGTCCGAGATCCACCCGCAAACTGTCGCCGCGAGCTATTCAATTTAACCAAATCGTGCAGATATCTACAGGAACAAACAAGTTTAGGCTGTACTATTCATAGTAAGTACATTAGGCATAAATGGGTTAAACTTTGGATACGACCATTTTTCATCAAAATGCAGCCTGTCAAAAATCACCCAAAAAATTAGATTCTTCTCTTTAAGTTATAAGGAGGCAACGATTACCGGACAGACATACAGATCCACAGACAGTCCGACAAACAGACAGACCGACGAAAATGAGTTGCATAGTTTTTCCTCATATACACACACACACATACACACAGCATACAAAAACATAAAGTAATATCATTGTTTAAATTTTTTGCGATTACAATACTCTCTCTCCCAGTGGCGTGGGAAGTAACAATAATATATCACGTACTTTCGAATATATAAAATCAATCATTTTTTCATAAAAATTCAACATCCTGGAGCTTAAGTTTGAGTCATTGCGAACACAGTTCCAGAAAATTTTAATAAATAAATAAGATCTCAATCTTTCAGCGACATATACCTATGACCTTCAACTGACCTTAGACCGCATGGGAAAGGAACCTTTATATTTCACCCCCGACATGGCGACGCCGAACTCCACTGAATTCATGAGGTACGCTCGACCAATCAGAGAAGCCCTAGATCGCATGGTGATGCAGTCCGACCTCAGAGACATCTTCCATGGAGTTGAGGTCCACGCCTTGGCGCCTTCCAACCATTCCAGAGGCGTGGTTAGCAAGTTCTATCTGCAGCTTTCGGACAATATGGAGGAAAAGAGGTTGGAGGACGTATTCCGGAAGTATTTGGAGAACAACAGCTACAGGTTAGAGGAAATGATTTATGCCTATACAGCGAAATTCATGTCCTTTTACTTCCTATGCCAAAACTGGCGAAAAAAAAATCGAAATTGAGATAATTATGTTTTTGGATGTGGTATGACATGTACATCACGAAAAACCATGTCACTCATTTCCGTCGACATGCCTAATTTTATAACCAGTACCACTCGGATTTTGATGAAATTTTGACATAAAGTTACTACTATGCCAAACATTATAAAGCTTTCTAGTTTTTTAAAATTAGTCCAGTGCTAGCGGAGCTAGTTGCAAAAAAAATAAATATCGCTTAATTTCTGAAAAATTTTTGTAGGCGTTGAGACTTGGGGATTGGAGGTTGTAGGGGGTTGTATATGTAACGTCTTTGGTATTAGTCAAAGACCTTCTAACATTAATAAGCTTCTGATCTGTGCTCATAATTCGAAATAACTTTGCAATCGTTGGCGTTGCGTGCACGGCGCGATGCTGCTGGTCATGGAGGCCACTGCCGATTGTGCAATGGGTAACAAACTCCAACCGGTCTGCGGCGGTGTCGTCACTGACACACCGCTTCAGGAGAAATATTTATATATTTTAGAAATGTGCGGATATCAGGATTACGTACCACTTTAGCGTTTTAATATGCTTTTATAAATGATGACAACTATTTTTGTATCTACACACATATTTTTCTAAATTTTATGATTCTTTAATGTATCACCGGTCTATGATGTTTTTCTGAATTTTTTTTCGAGTAGATTGACTCATTATATGACGCATTGTTGTAGAAAAGACACGGACGGACGAACCGAAATAAATGAGAAGCACTTGTGTGATTCAGTTACCTTTGAGCAATGAAAAACTCGTTGTATTATAGCGAGGTTAATACTTCCATCTGTTAGGTAGTCGCAAATTTTGGAAAGTGATTCAGAGGTAGCGGAAATATCGCTGAAATATAGCCTTACAACGTTTCATAGATTCCTGCTCATTTTCAGACTTTGTTTGGAGGGGATGAAAATTGTAGGTTGGAAGCTGTATGCCGTAAATGGTTGTAAATTATTGCATATTTCGTATCAGTGAAAGACCTTATACTATTAAGAAGCTGCTCAGTGATACTATGCACCTGTTAAACATAATAAGACACACATATTTTGCATTCATCTGCGATGGAAACAGAATTATGATATTGTGGCGTTTTTCTGGGTTCTTTGGGGTGTGGATTAAAACACTGGATTCAACAAAAAGAAATGGACTAATTTATTTAACTTGACTAGATAGAACATTTATGTTTGACTACTTATTATGTCGCGCCATCCACTGAGCTATACTCTGCTTCTCTCTCCCGGACCGCGAGTTATACGAATGTTTTTTTTCAATTGCAGTCTTGGAGGAACCGACGTGTTCGCCTCCATACCCATCGACCTCACCTCCCAGGACTTCGATGAATGCGTCCATCCGTCCTTCCACGACTGCTCCTCGAACGCTAAATGTTTCAACCTGAAGGGAACGTACACCTGCAGCTGCAAAGAAGGTTTTGCCGATATGTCTGAAAATATGCTCTACCCTGGACGCGTATGTTCCGCTGAAGTGGTTGGTTGCGAGAGGTGCACTTACCACGGGACTTGCTATTCCAGGGGGGAGGGAGAGACGATATGCGAGTGCTTTCAGTGGTACGCTGGGGATAACTGTCATGTTAACCTCAAAGGTAAGACAAGATAGAAAATGGGCTCATTAAGAGAAGAATTCTTTCAATTTCCGTATAATTCACACAATTTGGCAGCAGTGTGCTAGCCGACTATCGGAGGAGTGGTCAAGGTATAGTCTGCAAAAACCAAAAGTTCGCCAATTTTGCCAAGACTGCAATCGTTTTAAAATAAACTAATCACGAAGTACTTTATCTATATCTACTTGAAACAGATTTGTATATGTGGTAAAAAAGTATAATGCATAACAATAAAGATCAATAAAAACGTAACGATTCAAAAGAATGAAGAATAACTATTGATACTATCTTTATCTACTCAAGTGCAAGATCGTACATTCCAAGTGCTCAGCTACAATGGATTTTTAAACAATAATTTCTTAACTTCTTCAAATGAAATATAGATACTATTTTGTTGAATTCTGACTGGTAATATGTGGAATTTTATGACGCGGTTGTAATATGGGGACTTTTTGAGATATGTGGTGAACTTTTTATTTTCGCGGGCTCTCTGTAGGATCTTGCCATTCAAAAAAATATAGAAGCCTACCTACAGATATCTATAATGACAAAAATGACTTCGCAAATGCTGTTTTTGTACTCTGAAAAACACAAAATGACTTATTGATTCTTTCATACAATTGACGCAACTTTTTTGTGTTTATTTTTTCTAAGAAACATTTTTTTGCAGTACTATTAATCGCTCTAGCGACACTAGGCGTTCTGCTCTTCATCCTATTTTTTGTATGCATCTTGATGTCCTGCGTGAAGCGGAAACCAAGCAAAATGGCGGTTGCGTCTGGGTTAAGCTTCCTACCTCAGAGGGTCAGCAATTCGAGTAACAGAGGAACCATAGATAGAAGAGCTATGATACAAGACACTAGCTCAGAGGATAGTCGGTCGGAGACCAACACTTTGCCATACGTACAGGTGAGGATAACGTTATCATTGAAAATACGAGGGGGTACCCAAAAAACACGGAATTATTTTTTAAAAGCTATTTTATTTTCAACTTTTTCACAAAGTAACCTTATCACCTTCAAAATACTGACCACTACAACTAATACACTTGTCCCACCGATGCTTCCACTGCTCGAAAAATGTTTTGAAGTCTTCCTTAGAGTCAGACAGCTCCTCCCTCGTTTTTTCTTGACCTCTTCAATGTCGTCAAAGCGGCGTCCTTTTATGCCCCTTTTCATCCGTGGAAATAATAAAAAGTCGCACGGAGCCATGTTAGGCGAATAAGGTGCGTGAGGCAACGGAACCATGCCATTTTTAGCCAGAAACTGTCGAACAGAGATGGCTGTGTGCGCAGGTGCATTATCGTGGTGGAAAAACCAGTCTCCGGACTGCCACAAATCGGGTCTTTTTTTGCAAAACACTGTTTCGCAATCGTCTTAAAACCTCCAATTGAAAGGTCTGATTGACAGTGTGACCTGGGGGCATAAGCTCGGAATGGACTACACCTTTGACATTTAAAAAACAAATCAGCATTGTTCTGATGTTTGATTTGACTTGACGACATTTTTTTGAACGGGATGACGATGGTGTCTTCCATTGACTTGACTGTTGCTTCGTTTCTGGGTCATAACCGTAGCACCAAGTCTCATCACCAGTGATGATCTCTGACAGAAAATTTGGATCAGATTCAAGCTGTTGTTTCAATACACGACATGTTTCCACTCGGTGATCTTTTTGATTGTCAGTCAGAGCCCGAGGAACAAACTTGGCAGCAACTCTTTTCATTCTCAAATCTTCTGGTAAAATTCGCTGAACCGAACTCCTGGACAAACGACTACTTGCGGATAGTTGATCGATTGTCAGTCGATGGTCGGCAAGCACAAGCTCTCGAATTTTTTCAACATTTTCGTCTATTCGGGCAGTTGATGGACGTCCAGAGCGAGGTTTGTCTTCAATCGACATGTCGCCATTTTTAAATCGAGCAAACCACTCGTACACCTGAGTTTTTCCCATAGCATCATCTTTGTAAGCTATTTTCAACATTAAAACAGTTTCAGTAGCATGTTTACGAATCAGAAAGCAAAATTTCACAGCTGCACGTTGCTCACTGAAGCTTGCCATCGTAAAAAACGAAACAAGCACGAATCAGCTCAAGCAAATATAATAACTACAGAAGGACGAAACAAGCCAGATCGACAACTCAGGTTGCACTGAACTGGTAATGAGTTGCGCTGTACGCCTCTAGGGGCAGAAATGTGTACAACACAAGCTCCGCCCACTGCAATGAGTGCAATGCCATTCCGGTTATTTTTGGGTACCTCCTCGTATATGGTCTAAAATGCGTATTAAGCTCGACATTAATAATTGATATAATGGCCTGCAGGGGTATTACGTATCTTGAATAGTGACATTGTGTCGTTTTTTGACATTATACCTAAAGGTTTTTTGCGACATTATGTACGTTTTGCTGAATGTTGTCAACTTGGAACAAGCTGTTATTTACTTGAGGTGCACTCGTTATGTAGTTGTACATGTTGTCGCTCGAGCTATCATGGTTCGACTCTGATGTGAGGTAACATCTGCCTCAGAGATGGCATTATTGGAGGTCTTAGCTGTAAGTTGTATACTATAGCTTGAAGAAAACAGGCGAAACGGCAGTGCTTAGGTGCTTAGTGAGGATTTGTGTGCATGCTAATAATCTGTATTGATGACAATTCCCTTGATGTCTTGTCTCAAATCCAGTTACTTGAGGTGTATGCTTCATCATGGTAATTACATTTTCAAATTTGCTGAATTTCAAAAAAGAGAGATAAAAAAGAAAATTCCTGGGTGGTGAAGTATATTACAACTAGCAGGTGAGAAAATAGGCTACAGACGGGAATATTTTTTGCGATGTCAAGTAGAAAATATACAAATCAGTGCCTAGATGTGACGCACTGTGAAAATTTGTGTTATGCGTCATTCCTAATTTTTCTTTGATGTGGTGACGGGGAAAATCCTCATTCATAATTTTCAACAAAACATCTCTACAGAAAGGACAACACAAATAACCCGTCTGGTACAGCTGATAGATATACTTCATGGGCAGTATATTCAGTATAAGTTTCTCACATAGCAAATATCATTGATTTTATACATAATCCAGGCCAATACACACGATCACCCCGATGCGATTTTGCTACTCTGCTATTCAACCAATTTTCTTTCTGTCACATCAGCGATATGCTCGACATATTATCTCGGCATTCTGCAACCAACAAAGCATGCTGGCGAACTGACTTGCAGCATGGCCGTTGAGCATGTCTTTGAGACATTCCTCCAGGTGACGCAGTAGGTCACGCAAGCAAGTGTAGAATAAACTATATACACACCAGGAGCTATATAGTCAGCAAGCTGACATTTTCTCGTTTTTTGTCAAAATACAACTTATCCGTCAAATTCTAACCACATATGCACTGTTACGAAGAAGTTGATTTCTCGAAAAAAAAAATGTAATAAATGTCCTAGAGAAATTAAGTTATTAACTTGAGTTTCAATGATAAATTGAAAAATAAATATCTGTATTTTGCGTTCATCATCGTGATATTAGAACACGCATGAATAATTCATTGTAGCAAATGTTGTAACTGACGAAAATAAAATACCAGAAATTTTTTGTTTTGTCATACTGATAAGACCATGTAAACAAAGTTTAATATGTGACGTGGATGATCTGAATGAAGAACAGACGATTTTTGTGAAGTTAAATAAGAAAGTATTTTGCGAGTTTATGTTTTTAGTTATTGATTAATAAAAGTGGCACATGTGTACACTAATGAGGAGTTAGTGGACATTGTTTTAGCGTACGGAGAAGCAGGGCAAAAGAATAAGTGATAACATACTTGTTTATTTTTGCTAACTACACTTAAATAATTAATAAGACGCTTGGAAACCTGTTGAAGCAACTAATCATTTTTCTCTCGAAAACTATCTGAGATGACCTGTTTTGATAGTAGACAAAAAAAATTAATTGAAAAGACGATCTGCTAATTGAAAAAATTCATCGTCGGGAAAGTTAAAAAAAATCTACTTTAATTTATGTAGTGGTGGAGGTAGTTTTCATCCGTCTCGAAATTTCCAGAGTTTTTAATAAAAGTCAAATATTAGAACGTCTAGCAAAACATATGTGTTCCAAATTTCATTCAAATCGGTCTATCGATTCTTAGAGTGTGTATTAAAAACGATGACGCAATCTAACGGACGAACGAAGCACTTTTACCTAGAGGTAAATCATATCCAATCGACTTATTTTGAATCAAAAAATACGTGGTACACCTATGTCTACGGAATATTGGGACCCGTGTATATTATTATCTCATTTAGAATAAGAAGAAACCTAAAGGAGCCCTGAAGAAGACCTCAAAAGCCCCCGAGCCAACCAAAGAAGCGGAAAACATCGAAAGCACGATCTCGTTCGCGGACCAAAAAGACAGATCCTTAACAGTGATGATTCCAAGAGCCAAATATCACCCAGCACATGCAACGTCTCCAATTTTGAACTATACTTCCTTCGATGCCAGGAAACCTTCAGTACCTTCAATCACGAGCGAGTCGAAGCTGATCAGTTATTTGGATGCTGGACCTTCTCCAGGAAAGGTAAGTGTTTCATTCATAATATTGGCCGTTGGAAATACATAGCTCATATAGGGTGATTCAGAAAAGAATGGCAATAGATACAGGGCGGAGAAGTTTTATTTTCGAAATAAAAAAAGGTATTTTCTACGCCATTGACTTTTTCGCAAAATCTATTGCATTATTAAATAAGTTACTCAATTTTACATGAATCGCCTCTCCTGCAATATTTTTGTTACCCTACTCCTTTTGTAGAACAATTGGTTTGAATATCAGTATAAAAAGATTCAACTCGTTCGATTTTAAAAATAGCTGCTAATAGTGAAGCGCATTTATTCGCACATTGTTTATTTGTTCAGATGTTCTATTAGTTATAGGTCTAAGTGTATCTAAAATGTTTTTGAGAAAATAAATTGTTTTAGAGGTAAATAGTTTCGTCATGTTTTGGTACAAATCTTGAAGTGGGCCAACTGTAAAAAATAAGACAGAACTTCTTTTGTTTTGCAACATTTGAACCTAGCTACCATGTTCTACCGGATACGGGCCTATTTGTTTTCTTATTTATTACCTTGTCTTTCATAAATATATGTTGATTAGGAATATACTCACTGGTCTTTTTGTCGATTTTTCTCGTGCTCTTTTTTGTGTACTTATTTGCGTTTTGCAATTAATCCTCAAAATCGGTATTTCTGAGTTGCAGTTTTTCAGCGTATAATATACAGGGTGTTTCAGTTTATTGTTGCATAACTTTAAGATTCGATAGAACTTTTAAAATTAATGCATAAAGTCTATATAAATATGGGTCGAAAAATGCGTGGCTTCCGAAATAAAGGGTTTTTAAAATTACTTTCTAAAATAGTTTTTTTTAAATATTTCGAACAATATTTGATGTATAACAGTGAATATTGGTAAACAAGGGTTTTTTGGTACGACAAAACGAACCATGGGCATAGTTTTACTGTAGCCGCTAGAGGGCGCTCTCTACTGTACCTGTAGTGTATTAAAATGACCGAAATTTTTTTCTTAGTGCAATTTTTTGCTTTTTGAACAAAAAACCTGAATCTTAGCACTTTTCAACATAAAAAAGCTCTCCTGTGAATTTTCGTTATAGTTAGCCGTTTTTGAGATATTTCGATTTTTAAGGTTCGATGCATTTTTAATTATTTATGATAAAATCACGTTAGTATCTCGATAATTTTTAGAAGTAGGCTGCGCCTGCAAATATTTTTGAAATTGAAATCAGAATAAGGTTAAACGTCAATTAGTTGACAGTTAGTTTTGTTGTCTGTTGAAACCTGAAACGTTTTTTTGCAATTGTGAATGCACGAAATTTAGTTTCTTTTACCTGTTTTTTTTTTTGTATGTTTTATAAAAATGCCATTTTCACCGTGTTCCTAGAAATGACCATAGACGTCCTTACCATTTGCAACCTGTGCAAGGACTACAGCCAGGGGACGGAGAATGAAGAATCACATTTTGTCAGTGGATTCTTGACAGAACTGATAATAATAGGGAGTTTTTAAGTAACTTTTTATGGACCGATGAGTCATGCTTCACTAGACGTGGAGTGGTAAATTTTCATAATCAACATATTTGGTCGCATGAAAATCCGCATGTAGATCGGGAAAGAAATTTTCAGCATGAATTTAGTGTGAACGTGTGGATTGGTATCTACCGTAATCGACTTTTGCCTGCAAGGTTAAATGCTGCGACCTTCTTGGAATTTTTAAAGGCTGAACATGCAAATATGTGGGATGATGTTTTGTTAGATTTAAGAAGATTGGCCTGGTTCCAGCTTGATGGTTGTCCAGCTCATTATTCGAGAATAGTTAGAAACTGGCTGGACGAAAATTATCCAGAAAGATGGATCGGCCGTGGAGGACCAGTCGCCTGGCCTCCACGATCCCCTGACCTAAATCCATTAGATTTCTTTGTGTGGGGATTTCTAAAAGAAAAAGTGTACCAGACTCCCGTAACCACAAGAGATATGCTAATAGACAGAATCAGGAATGCATGTGATGAAATACGGCCTTATTTGAATAATGCTATACCACGTTCAATCATTCGTAGATGTGAATTGTGTATTGAACAATTGGGTTTACATTTAGAGCAACTACTTTAGATTTTGTATGTTTGTCCTAACTATCCAATAGCATTTTAGTTGTAAATAATTAATTTAATTTGTTAAAAATAATATTGGAAAATTAAACAAATTAATATTCTGTTTTTTGTGTTTATTTGGAGTTAGGAATTATTGTTGTTTAAAAACACAATCTAAACGATCATCTTAATTACTTGTAATGCCCAAATCGAAAATGTAAAAAAATATTATTTTCCCATAAATAATTAAAAATGCATCGAACCTTAAAAATCGAAATATCTCAAAAACGGCTAACTATAACGAAAACTCACATGAGAGCTTTTTTATGCAGAAAAGTACGAAGAATCGGTTTTTTTATTCAAAAAGCAAAAAATTGCACTAAGAAAAAATTTTCGGTCATTTTAATACACTACAGGTACAGTAGAGCGCGCCCTCTAGCGGCTACAGTAAAACTATGCCCATGGTTCGTTTTTTCGTATCAAAAAACCCTTGTATACCAATTTTCACTGTTATAAATCAAATATTGTTCGAAATATTTAAAAAAAAACTATTTTAAAAAGTAAATTTAAACACCCTGTATTTCGGAAACCACGCATTTTTCGACCCAAGTTTATATAGACTTTATGCATTAATTTTAAAAGTTCTATCGAATCTTGAAGTTATGCAACAATAAACTGAAACACCCTGTATACCATTTCTTGTAGTCTGACCAGGCTCGTAAAGCAAGCACAGCCCCAACCGAAACCATCATGGAAGAAAAACCCGGATCTAGAAAAACCTCAGGCGCTCTGGTATCTGCAGGTTTCGAAGTATCCGCTACTGTGGTGAATAACATGGGTACTTTGGGTACCACCTGTGGCACCGAGGCTGACAGAAGCGAGAATGCCACGCTGATACAGAAGATCAGCGCGGAGTTGCTGTCTAGTGCTGATACCAGGTCGCAATTCAATACGCTAAGGCAGTCTATTGTGTAAGTTAAAAAATGACAAAACGTTTGCAGAAACCCTCCTGTAGTCCAACCCAATTTAAATTTTATAATAACAGTATTCCTGAACATCCAGGAGAGACAACAGTATTGCATTCGTCAAAATATAAGCAAGCTCATTTGAACAGCATTTTCTTCCTTTTCCTCCGTATTCTGACTTTTTCCGTTATACCGGGTGCGGCAGAGAGGATGGACGGTTTTAAAAAAATCATAAAATAGTTAATTTTTACTCGAAAACAAATTTATTGATGGAATCAGGTTCACAAGGAAATAGCATTTGAGACAGTCAAGACAGTCAAGTGTGGAAAATCACATCAGGCATGTGGTGGCCGAAATCGTTGATGCAGTGCTGGAGGCGTTCTTGGCTCTCTCCAACATCGCTCTCTCAACTTGGGCGACTTCCACGCTAATTTCGCCCTTCAATTCGTCCGGAGTTCGGGGCTTGTTCGCGTATACTCTAGCCTTGAGGTGTCCCCATAAGTAAGAACAGCATATGGATAAATCTGGGGACCGAGGAGGCCAATGAACATCGCCAAACCTAGAAATAAGGCGATCAGGGAAGAGAGGGCGAATAACGTCCATGGATGCTCGGGCTGTGCGGGCGGTCACCTCATCCTGCTGGAACCACACACGTCGGATTGGAACACGTCGCCGTCGTAATTCAGGGAGAAAGAAGTTGGTGATCATGTCAACGTAGCGCTCTGAGTTCACGGTAACATCACGACCATTACCGTCTTCGAAGAAGTAAGGGCCAATGATGCCAGTTTGCGATACAGCGCACCAAACCGTTACTTTTGGGCTGTGCAGCGGTCTTTCATGTAACTGTTGCGGATTTTCATTAGCACAATAACGACAATTCTGCTGGTTAACCATGCTGTTTAGGTGAAAGTGTGCCTCTCGTAGACGGAGGCGGAGAGTACTACCCATCCCAAAAACGTCCGTCCTCTTTGCCGTACTCTGTAGTAATAGTCAAGCCACTAGCAGGATCGCCATGAAATAAGTTTGTAAATTTCATAGGCTTTTACGGCCTTATAATGAAACACTTTAATTTGTCTATGGTTAACTTTATTCTGTTTTATCCTTGTTGTTAGGTGTTACAATGTAGCTATTCATCTGCTTACCGCAGCATCTCCGTTGACCTATATTACTTGCAGTACCTCACATTTGCTAACAGTTCCTAATAACAATAATTATACAGAGTGTTCTTACTACACTACACTTTTTTCTCCCTGACTTCTGGTATATAGGCAACCATGCCTGAAACATCTACTGATATTTTAACCAAGAGCATAATTATCTTTGTCAGAAATTCCTCAAGGAAGTCAATTTAATATAAAAAGTTACGATAGTTGTCTTTTGTTTTACTTCTGTATTGTAATTGTGGACATTTTAGAAAATGAGATATTAAGTTTCCTGAATGTTTCATTTCAAGTTTCAATTCTATTTGAGTTTTTTGGATAGACTAATTCTAGAGTAATGCATTGATTAATATTTGTTTTCAGAGAAGACGATGAGTCCTCCAGCAATTGGCTGGATATAGTTCCAAGGGTGATGTATGTAACTTATAATAATGTGTCATTAGCCGAATATAATTTCAATGATTTTTTTCAGGACTGTATCTGAAGCGAGATCTTACGACGAAACGACCATACCACCTCCTATGAAGTCATTCCGGACCGATTATGATTCGAAGTTGTCGTCACATCCAAATGATGTAAGGCGTACACAAAAAAATTTCTATAGCAGTTTTTTCCTCAAATACAGATTTATATTTTTTAGGAGGCAAACACAATGGCAGAACGTGATTTAGGATCCACATTTCTTCTTCCCCATACACATCTGTACAAACCCGATAGGGTGAGTTTTTTAACTTTTACTTTACCGTCCAAAAACGAGTAACTATTGGGTCGGCTAAGTTTTTATAACCATAACGTTCTTTAGGGCTCACGATTTATCTGTTAAACATATTGTGTCTTACCGTCCACTATATATATATACCAACCTCTGTTAAATACAGACAAAAATTTGGGGGTATGATAGAATAAAAAATCTTTTTCGATATCGTAAATTGTTAACGTCACTTCAAATAAATATTTATGCCTTATACTTCCAATTACACAACATTTTATGGTTACATTTTAGCCTTATTTGCATCTATTAATCACAAGAGTCGGCCGGCACGTGTCTCCAAGGTATTTAGGGCCAAACATTTTTTAATAGTTTACCAGCGCACATGAGAAATGCCAAGCTTACAATTCCGATAGCATTAAATATTTATTAAATATTTTTAAAAAATGTTTCTTAAATATTTGTAGCGACAGATTTTTTAATATTTAATATATATTTTTTTTATATATTTATAAAATATTTATTATATATATTTGTAGTATATACAGGGTGGTTCATAACTGTCTCCCTATTTTCAAAGCTTAATAAAACAAATGTTATTTGGAATACTATGGATTTATTTTGAAATCTTAAAAGTGCAACTCAAATAGTTTTATTTTATGTGGTTTTGAAAATAATATCGGCAAGGTGCTTTACACCATTATCACAGCATTGCCGCAAGCGCTTTCTGAAGTTTTGCATAACTCTAACTAACATTGCTTGCGGTATTTGGCCAATTTCCAGGCGGATTGCCTCTTTCAGCTGTGGTAAGGTCCTTGGACGATGTTGAAAGACTTGAGCCTTAAGATAGCCCCACAGAAAGAAATCGCAAGGCGACAAATCCGGGGAGCGCGCAGGCCAAGGAATATCGCCTCTAAGGGAGATCAAGCGTCCGGGGAACAGTTCTCTCAAAATGCCTAATGATGCTCGGGATGTGTGGGCTGTCGCCCCATCCTGCTGAAACCAGGCATTCTGCACATTGAATTCTGCAAGAGCTGGGACAAAAAAATTCTGAATCATCGCTACGTAGCGTTCCGAGTTGACAGTGACAGCCCGATTACCTTCTTCAAAAAAGTAAGGCCCAACTATCCCAGTTTCTGACACGGCGCACCAAACTGTGACTTTCTCACTATGCAGAGGCTTTTCGTGTATCTCTCTTGGGTTTTCGGCACACCAGAACCGAAATTTTTGTTTGTTCACGCAGCCAGACAAATAAAAATGTGCCTCGTCACTAAAAAAAACCGCCTCCTGAGGTAACTTTGCAATCATGTCTTGACATGCAGCTAGTCGATTGTTCCAATCACGTGGTGATAATTCCTGTACAATAACCATCTTGTATGGATGAAAATGTAGGTCTTGATGAAGAATTCTTCGTAAAGAGCGATTAGAGAGGCGATGGGCGTCTGCATGTCTGCGTGCAGAGCGGTTGGGCGAGTGTTCCACTGAGCGTCTGACTCTCTCTATGTTTTCGGGCGTCCGAGCTGTTCGTGGACGTCCACCTCCTCTCCTGATAACAGTTCCAGTTGCTCTGAAATTTTTCACCCACAAAACAATTGATTTTCGGTCTGGCACTGGTCGGTTACGAGGAATTTCAAATTGCATACGGAACGCTCGTTGTGCAGCGATAACGGATCCATTTTCGTGGATGTACGCTTCCACGGCGAAAGCGCGCTGTGCGTCGGTCCACATGCTGTTTCAAACTGACACCTGTTCTAACCTGAAACTGTTCAACCTGCTGTTTGTACTGACGCTATCCCCACTTCCATTCGGTGCCGCCCGGTTGGGCCTTACTTTTTTGAAGAAGGTAATCGGGCTGTCACCGTCCACTCGGAACGCTACGTAGCGATGATTCAGAATTTTTTTGTCCCATCTCTTGCAGAATTCAATCTGCAGAAAGCCTTGTTTCAGCAGGATGGGGCGACAGCCCACACATCCCGAGCATCATTAGGCATTTTGAGAGAACTGTTCCCCGGACGCTTGATCTCCCTTAGAGGCGATATTCCTTGGCCTGCGCGCTTCCCCGAACTTCAGAAAGCGCTTGCGGCAATGCTGTGATAATGGTGGAAAGCACCTTGCCGATATTATTTTCAAAACCACATAAAATAAAACTGTTTGAGTTGCACTTTTAAGATTTCAAAATAAATCCATAGTATTCCAAATAACATTTGTTTTATTAAGCTTTGAAAATAGGAAGACAGTTATGCCCCACCCTATAATTCATATAATTTTTGCGATATGTTTTCCAAATATTTAGAAAATATATGAGGAAAGATTTTTAAATATCAATATTATACTTTGATGAAATATCTAATATTTTCCGTAAATAGATATGGATTTTCAAGCATTAATCTGATACATACTTTCAGTGTATATAGAAAATTCTACATTGTTTATTTTAGCAAAAAATCTGTAGGAATGCTTGGGTTTATAAATAAAATTCATTCTAGATATAATGATTTAATTTGCTAGAAAAATATTATTGAAAAAACATTCTAAGCCTCTCCTGCATCTTGCAAGTTCACTCCTCTGAAAAAAAACTTCCTAATTATGAAGTGTTATTGAATACATAAGCTGATTTCCAGTGTATTTATGGGTATATAAAATGCAGTGGAACAATATTGGTGCTGAGCATGCTGAGTTCCTCCGAGTAGCTCAACTGGGTCACTGAAAAGCAGCTCTATAATGCACCTAAAAGGACACAACATTTTTTGCCTATATATTATAGTTCAAGGGACAAAGATATAGTATTTTCGACTGTTAAAATTTTGGAACCTCACTGTTGAACTTAAAAAAATTTAAAATAGTTACAGCTGATCTGCCCCCTACTACGACAAAAATAATAATAATTGACATATTTAAAAAGCAATTTTGATGTATCTCGATCAAGTTCCACCAATACCAAATAACTGTTACACTTCAAGGCTAGTTATTTATGGTCTTGTGAATACCTTTATACTCAACTAGCACAATAATGTTTACTAGTCAGAAAATCTTACCCTTTTCCCTTTTTCGCCAAAAACACTCAAATAATGTACAACTTGGAGGTACACAGGAAGTGCGCTATCATAGTGAAAGTCACAGGCAAAATGGATGCCGGCAAACGCGCAAACGGGTCGGCGCAGGCGGGCTTTCTATTATGCCATTGGTCGCTCCGGGTCACCCGCACATGCGCCGTAGCGGAAAATATTTAATGAATGTTTTCTAAATATTGGAGATTTAATATTTTTCATTGATTGAAAAGTAAATGTTTAATGAATATTATAAAAGAAATATTGTATTTAAAATAGTTAAAATATATTGAAATTAAGAAAAGAAATATTTAAGTAAGATAAAAATATTATTAAATATTGAATAAATATTTAATGAATATTACGTGCTATCGGGAAAGCCTTTTTGGAATAAAACTTGAGCAGTTCCGTATGCAAAATGGTTATTACGGCGTCTCAAAATTTTATGTTTTACAAAGCACGTTTAATTTCCTGTAGATTATCTGTGGTTTGTTTTTTATATTTTGAATGTTTGTATACACCGTTGACGAGTTCTATACATTATAAATGTCCAAATGATCAATAAACTATTACTAATGTATAAAGCCATATAACACTCTGCTTAACACCCTCGGTACATATATAGCTATTTTCTTTTTTTCAGGGGAGCGACATATCAGGATTTGAATCATTATAGAATCTCAGGAAGAAGCCTGTGAATCCTCGAATCGTGATCTACAAAATAAAGTGCCTTAACTGTGTGCCTGTGGTATATGATAAATAATTTATTTATATGAACATGTATACTCTTATTTTTTTGTTATTGTATAGAACGTTTTATTTTATTATGAAGTGTTTTTGTTTTTAATTCACTACTCAACACATACAAAACTGATGATGAATATCTTTATTTGGCCATATTTTTATATTTATGTAAATAGTACTAAAAACTAATACAATAAGTTTGAACATTTCAGCGCGAATGATTTTGTAAATATATTTTTGTGTGATATTGTTTTAGGAATATTTATATATATTCTGGTCCTTAGTTTTAGTCTACTTACACTACTCGTCAAAAGTGGAGCTTCTGGAATATACCAATAAACATGTAAGAATGGTAACAAGAAATCTCAATCTGAACCATAATGTTGAAACGGTTGACATTTCTGAAAATTGAAAGTTGAAAATCCCCGGCTATTTCTATAAAATTTTAAAAGTTGTTCATGCTTATTTTGTCATGCAATGATATTATTATCAAACTATTTTTGACTAGTAGTGTACATTGTATTTATGTTTAAAGGCAAAATATGCAGAGTGCCAAAAAAGACTTAAATTTTTGTAAATTTTTTTATCCATTTTAAATTAGTCTTAAGGCTATTGCTATAACTTGTTCAATGTAACATATATAATTTTTGTATGTTTCGATACGATTTTATATGAAACAATAAATCATATTAATATCCAAATACGAGTTTTAATTAGTACAGAAGGAGTGTTCAAAAGCTGCTCTGACTGAGAATTTTGTTTAGACAATTTAAGTATCCCTATACCCGTTCCTTCGTAAACGATTTAAAATATAAAATTATTAAATGCGAACCTCGAGATAATGGGAATATTAGAGAAGTGTCCTAAACGAGACTCCTGATCTTATTGGCTCTGCATAGTCTGTATTTTTGGCACGTTTCGTCATAACTCATGATCTGTCATTTGATTGTATTTTTGGTTAAGTTACCGTCAAGTTTTTAACATACCATGAAAACAGACTGCCTCTTCCAATCCATCGCTGTTAAAATACTGAATTAATATGCTCTCGCACAATAATAGCAAAATGTGCTGGGCAAAACCATCCAACTGCAACAACAAGTTTTGCCGTGTTTCCAGTGGCACATCTTCTAACAACAACGGTGATTGATTATCCAAAAAGTCAAGGAAGACGTTGCCATTTACGGATTGCTCGAAAAAATATTGCCCAAAATTCAGCCTCCCAGTATGCCACACTTCACATTTAAACTTCAACGCCCTTGGTCCTGAACTGCAGGCTACCAATGCGGATTTTCTGCAGACCAGTAATGCATATTGTGCAGATTGACTCTCCCCTCATTATTGAAGGTAACTTCATCGGTCCAAAGAATTTGGAATAAAAATTCTCTATTTTCGCGCATACTGCCTAACAGACAATGACAATAGTCTAACCTCCGATCAAAGTCTTTATCTTTCAAGGCCTGATGCAAAACGACATGATATGGGTACATTCCATACTAATTAAAAAAAGTTAAATTCGAATAAATCCCTATATTTTGATGGCCACTAGGACTTATCTATGGTCCTTCAAAATATTTTGAACCGTTGTTCGTGATATGCCCAACTCAAGGGATGATGCTCTTGTGCTAACATAAGGATTTCCGTTAATATAGTCAACGCCAAACAAAGTGGCGTGCACGTCATCACGATAAAAATTCCCCGACCTAATGCCTAGGTTTCTATCACAAACAATTGCTCTATTGCAGTTTCATATTAATGTGATATATAAATTGTAAAATGGTCATTACTCTCTTATTATGGTTAATAGTCATATGAACATTGTTATTAAAATATCACATAAGTTGCTTTCTGATAAATTTAGACGCATTATGCGAAATAAAATGTTTTGCAAACGCTCCAATCACTTATCGACATGTAAACGCACTAAACCGATTTCGCAGCGTTGACACATTGTCACCTTGAAACTTATTTAAACTGGGAACTGACATTTGTATTAATTTTGACACTGAATCAATTTGTGGCATTTCAAATCTTTATAAATCCTTTGGCCCCGCATACTGTAAATCAACAACTGTTTGTTTCAAAACAAAATTATTCATTTTACGAGTAGATAAAGGCAATTTTGGTATATAAAGATGCCCAAACAGTTAAATAGTCGGTGTAAGGAACTCGTGGCCTCGTTAATGCACTACTTTGAGCAAGAAAGGGACAACAACGGGCCCTTGTTGCCTTTAAATGTAGGTTACTAATAATTATATGTAATGTATATTAATAATAGTGAAATTTTATTTCATTTTTTGTAGCGTGTTGCTGCTGCTTTAAAAATTAGTTTAAGGACAGTTAGTCGTATTTCCGAGGGTGTGAAAAGTGATGCAAATTTAGAATCGCCCAAGAAAAAGCGGAGTTATATTAAACGTGTAACCAACACAGCGACATTGGATACAAGTGCCATTCGAGAAGTGATCTATAATATGTATCACAAAAGTAAGATCTTATTATAATAACTTATCAGAAATTTGCATTAATTTGTTAACTAAATTATAATGTCATATTACACATGGTTTCAGAAGAACAAGTTACGATACAAACTTTAAGGTCTCGATTAAGAGATAGGGCATTATTTGATGGTAGTGCCACGTCGCCAAGGCGGTTGCTTAGAGATCTTGGATTTAAGTGGCTTAAGGACAATCCGCGACGAGGGCTCATGGAACTACCAAGTATAGCTTTGAAAAGGGTGGAATTTCTAAGGCAATACAATCAAGCCAAGGTTGAGGCCTTATACCAGTTTGTCTTCCTCGATGAAACTTGGATATTTCAAAATGGGACCATAGGTCGCTCTTGGCAAAATGGAAACCAAAAAAGCGTGAAAGCTATTAAAACAGATGGTAAAAGGTATGTACTTTTACACAATTTGCACTATAAAATTTAAACTAATATATTTTAGATACATTATATTACATGCTGGAAATGAAAATGGGTTTATTGAGGGTAGTGAAGCGATATTTTCTTCGAAAACAAAATTGAGCGATTACCATGGAGAGATGAACCAGGACAATTTTTTGAAATGGTTTCAACATCAGTTATTAGAAAAATTGGAGAGTCCATCTATGATTATACTGGATAACGCCCCTTATCACAGCATGATATTGAACAAAGTGCCCAACAATGCATGGACAAAAAAAAATATCCAAGACTGGTTGACAAATCAAAACATACCATTTTTAAACACAATGTTTAAAACAGAGCTATTGAGTATTGTTGCTCGGTACATAATGCTTCTTAATTATATATATTTTGGTCGACAGTTTATATTTCTTTTGTTTATTCCTATTCTTAAAATAACTGCTTTTTTAGAAACAAACCACCTAAAATATACGTGATTGATGAATTGGCGGAACAACATGGGCACAAAGTTCTTCGTCTGCCTCCTTACCATTGTATATTTAACCCTATTGAGTTAATTTGGGGCATAGCAAAAGGTTACTATAACAGACATATTGGTAGAGATGGTAACAGTGAAAAAGACTGTTTGGATATGTGGAACGAGGCTCTACAAACGGTTACCCCAGACATGTGGAAAAATAGTGTTCGGCATACTGAGCAAGAAATTTTTAAATGGTATGAAAGAGAACGAATTTTTGATCGACCAGACATCGAACCTTTAATAATCAACCTTGAGAGTGATGAAGATTCAGATTCAGACAGCGCTGAAGAAAGAAACTCCGACTAACTTTATTGTACAGAAAATGCTTACACCAGTAGCTTACCTAATTTTAGAATGCATTTTTCTGTATGAATTCTGTAAGATAAATACCATGCATAAAATTTGGAGGACCCCATTTGGATTTTTATTCAGTACCTTTAAGCTATCAATTAAATATGGTAGTTTCATAGTGTCATCTGATCAATAATTGTCATACTTAATGATTATGCAAGTACAGATCTATAATTTTATTATACTATTATTTTTGTTCTCATTTGAAGTTAATATTGCTTATAAACCTAGATATGTAAATAATAAATTTTATTATTTTACAAAAAGTTTGGCAACAATGTAAATTTTTCAACACACCCACCTTGATGACGTGCACGCCACTTTGTTTGGCGTTGACTATATATCCCAGTACGCGGTTAATATTTTCTTGTGTACTTTCAATTCTTTGCCGTTGAAACGCAGGCCGAAAACTGCCATTAGCCTGATCGCCAGACAAGTGACACTATCAAAATTGACAGTGTTGCCGGCCGTTTTTCACCACGAAAGACGTTGCCAGATTTCCTGTGTTGCGCCTTGTCAGGCCTCAGTTGACCCCACGTGGTTAGAAAGAGTGCGCAGATGACAGCCGTGACATCGTACTCGGGTTGCTACTGTTGGGAAGTAACGAGGTGCTTCTATCTCTTTCTAGCATCTAACATATGTATTGCGCGCTTCTCTCTTACACATTACGACATCAGTGGTATTTGTTTTTCAGTGTATATATTCCCTTTATCCTTAAATACAGCTTTTATTATATTAGTTCGCCTACTAGATACTAGATGGTGCTGTATAGTCATACACGGGTCGGAAAACGCCTTTGTTACTGAGAGGAAGGATACAAATTTTCAAATGAAATTTTCCTTTGACGAAAAGTTGTATTTTTTTTCCTTGGAGCCAGTTGCCTACTCTGCTTAATGGTTAATCCTTTATTCAAAGGTTTTTATGTCATGCCATCCTACTTAAGACGACATCAATTTGTTAGAAGGGTACGTTTTCTCCACTATACACGACATGATGCCCTGCACCCATCAGCGGAGGTACCTATAATAAGTCCGCTTGAGGAGAAAAATATTCTTTATAACGTAACTACAAGTTTTTAGTCCTTCAAACATCCCTACATAGAAATGATTTTTCCACCTCTTCAAACAGCTGGCAGCTCTGTTTTAAACCGGCCCCCCGAAGGTATCAATAGGTATTGAACTTAATATATTGCGATGCAGCACCCCAGTTGGTATTATTATTTCATAATGTCTAATGTATTACTTTTTGCTTTCGACTGCTACACATTTAAGACAATGTTATGTTTTTGATCCTCGATGTCACATTTCACAGAATCTTGAAGAAGATTGTCACGGGCAAAATTTTAAAATTACATAGTTCAACTATTCATCCAAGGATGTCCCTGCATTTAGCTTGGCAGTCCCATCTTTACAATAGACGTAGAAATAAGCTAGTTTAGAAATGGTTTAGAAGAATCTATTAGAGGAAGCTGTCACGCCCACAACTTTAGAATGTCGATACGTATTTGCCAAAGTAACGTAAGTCACCAAAAACGATTTCGGAGAAACAACGTGTTTTTAGTTTAACCTGGTTAAACCTTTTTAAATTGTGCAAAATTTACCAAGGTGTTTCTCTGAGATCTATATTTAATAAAGAAAAGTGATTTTTGAAGTTTTTCTATAGTTTTAGTGGTTAATTGATACTTACGTTATTATTATTACGGGTTCAGAAATCTCGAAGTCTTGATCAAAAATGTAACGTAAGTACACAGATACGTCAGTTTGGCGGCAAATTGTAGCACTTAAAGTATTTTGTAAAGAATTAGAAACTATCGTTTATTATTAAAAAAACACAAAATAACGTTACAAAAGAAAATATGAAATTCTTACTAGTAAAAAATATATATTTTTTTAAGTTTTGGAGCTTTCATCTTCATTGTCATCCTC